AAGGCTGAAATAGTAGTGGTGACAAACATATTCATCTAGAAGTAATTATAGATTTAATCTGATACTTTTTTTGCTGGACCCAAGGTCTGCACTGAAAACTGTTGAACTGATAACCAATAATCATTCATCATGTAAACTGATTAGCTATACTGGAAACATTTTACTTCCATAGCTTTGCCTGGTCCAACATTAGCCTTGATGTAATATTTTGGTTAAGCTTTTTCAGTGATTTAATATTTTTGGATAAACTTTTAAAAATGTAATTGCTTAATATATATTTTTTTTTATATATTGATATTTTTTATGTATGGAATTGTTTTTCTATGGAGTTTATCTATTAACATCTCTTCCAAAGAAGGTTCTCCATCAATGTAATAAGTAGAGGTTATGATTTGGCTAAATTAAAAGGCAGAAAGTCATTATTAGATCAGAAGAATTATATTAAACAATTAACAATATAATGTACATGTATTTTTTAAGCCTCTTCTGTGAATGGGAGAGCTACCTATTGGGTTAGAACTTCAGCTGACCACCTAAGCCAATCCACTGAGCCCCTTCCAAATGCTGCCCAAGCCTTCCATTATAAAGAATTTTGGAAAAGAAAACTGGGGGCAGAGCGATCTGGCACCGGAGCACAGACTTTGGGATTAAACATTGCAAGCAAAAATTGTTGATTTGTATGATTGGTCATGTGTATATAAATGTGTATGTATACACCCTCTGAATTCTATGGTTTTCCATATCAGGACATAATAATAATCTCTGTTCTTTAGCAGCTTTTAAAATTAGGTAAATACAACCTCAAATGAACAACAGCACATGACCTGTTACACAGCGTCATGACTTCACAAAAATAAAGCCAAAATGACAACATTTTAAAAAGCCAAAATGGAGAAGCCATGTGTCGAAAAGTAATTACCATGAAACTGTGTCTTGCTTTGTAGACAAGAAGATTAAAAATTATGTCAGAAAATGAATCCAGTCTAACTGAATTCACTGTACAGGGTTTTTCAGACTTGCCACAACTTCAGTTTCCTCTATTTATAACATTTTTATTTGTGTATCTCACCATTGTCTTCAGTAATCTTATAATTTTTGTATCTATAGTTTTGTTCTCTCATTTACACACACCCATGTACATCTTCTTGTGTAACCTATCAGTCATTGATATCTCATACACTTCGACCATTCTACCCAAACTGTTGGTCATTCTCCTCACTCAGTGTAAGACCATATCCTTTCTAGAATGCTTTATTCAGGTGTATTTTTTCATGTGCTTTGCTTGTACAGAAGTCTTATTACTGGCCGCTATGGCTTATGATCGCTATGTAGCAATCTGCCACCCTCTTCATTACTCAATTCTTATGAGTCCAAAGCATTGTGCTCGAATAGTACTTTCAGTTTGGGTCATGGGTTTATTTGATCCTGTTCTACATGCTATTTTAATTGCTAACTTTTCATACTGTCGCTCTCATCAAATAGACCACTTTTTCTGCGATATAACCCCATTGCTTAAACTTACCTGTAGTGACACATTTACTATTGAGTTATGTACCTATATTAATGGGGTTCTTCTGCTTATCAGTGCATTTTTATTAACTTTGGTATCATATGTCTTTATTATCACCGCCATCCTAAATATTCAGTCAGCAGTTGGTCGACATAAAACTTTTTCTACCTGCGCCTCCCACATGGCCTGTGTTATCATCTTTTATGGAACAATGATCTGTTTGTATATGAGACCAACATCTACATATTCTCCACAAGACAAGTTTTTTGCCCTTTTATATATTATACTTATTCCGATGCTGAATCCTCTTATTTACACCCTGAAGAATAAGGACTTTAATAAGGTTTTCAAACATTTCAAGTTTTATTAGAATCCTAAACAATGAACTAGTGAATAAAAAATTGTGACAATTTTATTTTCTTGAAGAATAAGAACTTTAATTAATTTACTCCAAGAATCGAGTAATCATGTTTTTACTCTTATTTACATTGCAAAACTAAATTTAGTCAGCAAAGCCTCTGATCACCCAAACTTGCTATTTTATTATTTATTTATATACTAGCCATGCATTCCATGTGTCAGATACATGTTACGCTAATAGACTTTCAAACACAAAATATGTTTTTTTTACTAGAGACAAATAAAACATTGTTTTATCCTAAACTATACATTAATATAATTCAATAATCCATTCCTTCAGGCATGAATTACAAGGTAACATTTGAACCAGTAGTAGGCTTATAAACTAGATAGAGAACATATTACTGGATTTTGAGGAGTCAACAGGTGTAACACATGACTAATGATGTGATACTGTTTGTTTAAAATGCTTTTTCATTCCACATTATTGAATGCATTTAACATCTACCTACAGCAGATGTTTAAAGTCTATAGTTTTGAATTAGGGCCTGTTATGCAAACATGTCATTGTATCATTTTAAACTTTAACTGTCTTCTAAAATTGTTAGTTTTTATACCTTTATGTCTTTGTCATATTGTGAAACGTCAAACAGGGCACTTTCTATAGATTGAATATTTGCATTTCAGGTCCAGTATAAAGCATCAATTTCATTTTCCTTGAGATTATATTTTTTTTGTAAATTTCATAAATGCTCTTGAAATGTCATAATTTTTTCAGGTTGACATCTGTCATGTAAAGAAACTGAAATGATATTTTTAGATATAATTTTATAGAACTGCCACTTGTGGACATCACCACACAGCTGTGTCCTTGTGTACCTAGAGGAGTCAGTACATGCAAATGCATTTCTTATGGAAAGAGCACTTATTTATAACATTTTCCGATGATACTGCTCTATGTGTCTTTTTATTGTATTTTTAAGGATATATTGAAGATAATTGAAGCTTGTTTATTTTTACAAGTGTCATTTTTTTTGTGAATGTCAGTATCCTTTGTGTACAGGGTCCTTGTGTTTGTTCTGGGTATCATTTAAAGGGTTTGTGTACTCCTCTTTTGTTGTTCATGCAATGTTTTTGTTTTTAAAGTGCACTGTAAAGTAACTATGTCTGAGTAGCATTTAATGGAACCTGAATATTATACAAGCCATTATATATATATATATATACACACACACACACACAAAACATTTGAATACAATGGGTTACATTCCCTTATAAAATTAAATTACCAATGTAGAGCTAATTGGATTCTCCTAAAGGGGAAGAATGGAAGCAGGGACTGCATGATCGCGATCGCCCAGTGGAAGAGACACCCCTTGCTTTTTACAGGAACATATCTCACTGAGTTGGACTGGAAGGATAACTCACAGGATTTACATAATACTAGAAAGGAAATACAAGAGTAAAAAGGAAATAAGGAATAAAAGAGTAAGAATAAAAGAGTAAATAAAACATATCCAGAATTATTTAATGTATTAAAATATATAAATGTAATAAATATGATTGTATTCATAGTTTCCATATGAAAATGTGTAATTGTGAGGTATTATGCATTAAACATAGTCACAGTATTTTCTAATTTGTAAGCCTAATGACAGATATACTTGCATATTATAATTGGTACATCTTGTACAAATTCGGTGGTATAAACCTACCAGCAGTGTTCACTAGATGTCTCCCTACACTTTAGTGAAGAAATCTGCAGGAATTTACCTCAGTTTTGTATAGATAAGGCATTAAAAAATGCAAAAACAAAACAAAACAAAAACAAATACATTTTGAATAAAACACCCTCGAAACTTCTAAAAATGCAAGCCACGTGGTCCAAAAGAAGCAACACTAATCAGAAGTGTCTCTTTCTGGTCAACCCCATTAATCCTTTATTTTGTAATTTTTTTGTTTTTTTTCTGCTGTTTTAACAAAAAAACTGGGATGGGATATGAAATGTTGAATTACATTTGACCCATCTGACGTGACAAAGGGTTAATACTTGTATTTTGGGTTTTCAAACCCTTATTCCAGTTATTTATAAAATTAATCTTGGAATTAGTTTTTCCGACTGCTAGTGGAAGATTTTGTTCTACACAAAAAGGCTGCTGAGAGAATGAGAAGTTAAGCGCCAATGAAAGCATGAACTTAAAATTTCCAAAATGTTAATAATTAGTTTATTCAAAACAAGCTTTAGGGACATGTAGAATATTACATATTCTTTTTTCCTATTAATTAGGTACGGATGTCTGGATTGACATAAGTAACAGGTTGTATCAATAAGTCACAACGCTTTTTTTTTGGTCTGAGAAGTCTGGAATGTGGTGATTGATGGTCGTGTCCTTACATGAGTTAAATTTAAAAGGACTGACGTCATTATGGTCATAGCTGTATAAAATAGTGGACAAAGGACCATGAGGTTGTTGCTTGTTGTCTGTAATCTAACTCTCCCTCAGTACAGCAATTAACTGAAGGCAAGAGACCTGTATGCCAAAGACTGACTGGCAGGTAGGCAAAACGCCAATGTTTTAAAGGGTATTAAGTTAAAATCTAGACACTTTAAAGAATTTCTGATAGCACAATGTAGCTGTAATGTAATACTCTATAATTTAAACCTAAATAATGTGTACAATGACAGGTGCACTTTAATTAAAAAAAAAAAAAAATCAGTTACTTTCTAACTACCCTCTCTACAGAGAAGAGGTGAGAACTGTTTGACCTGGCTGGTTATGTCATCTGCTTTATTATTCAGTTATTCAGATTAAATTAAAATGCTAAATTATCATCGGAGGAAAAAAACAGGCAATTTCCAATATTCAGTAACTATATGATGCAAATGCAATTTGTGATATAGGGGGCCATGTGAATCATATGACATTTTGAAAAAAGTACATTTACATGAACACACAGATCACAGTTGTTTGAATGTTTCGCTGAAAGGAAAACTATAGCCAGGTGTATGTCATACTACTTTATAAAGTTTAATTCATTCTTACAAGACTATAAGAAAGTAGAAATTTGAACTACCAGAAAAATATATATATTTTTGTACAATACAATATAAATAGTACAAATTGTGCTGCCCCAATTAAAACGCCAAACAAGAAATACATAATAAATAAAACAATCAGGGTTGGACAAAATAGTGTTCTTAGTTCATTCAGAAAAAAAAAAGATAATCTTATTTTACACATAATCTTACTTAATAAATGTTTTATTGCGTAAAAGCCCAGGAAATGGCCATTTGTGTAAAACAACACAGGGACTGATTTATAAAAATATATTGATTACAATGAGAGCTCTCACAGAGAGAAATCTTGTAAAGCTTGTACATGTAAATGCAAAACAAGCAATTCTAGGTTAAAGTAAAGGTACCACTTTTCTACTATTAGAGTTACTCAAACCAAAAAACTGTGTTTTCATAAAACACTGTTTTGGTTAGAGCAGAGTAGCCCTTGCTATGCTGGTCCACCCCTCTTTCCCTCCATAAAACTTAAAAAAGAAAAGTATAATTTTACCACCATTCTAATGTCGAAGCCAAGTTCTCCTCTCCTGCTATCACTCCCTCTTTGTTGTAGGGCAGTGGTCCCCAACCCAGTCCACAAGTACCCCTCAACCCCTCAACAGTCCAAGAATTAGGAATTAATCAGTTGTGTCTAAGGTGTTTTTAGAAAGTAGAAAAAAAAATAAAACACTTTAGACACAACAGGCTAATCCCTATATCCGGGACTGTTAGGGGGTACTTGAGGACAGGGTTGGGAACCTCTGTTGTAGGGGAAGGATGGGATGAGAGGAGAACATAGACAGCACAGAGGTAGGGCCATGTCGTTATTGGACATCTGTGGCCAGCATTCTGTGTGTATGGACTTCAGACATCCAATTTGCACAGAATTAACACTCTTGTTCCGGGCTGGCTAATGGTTGCAGAGGTCTTGAAATCTGAATGTGGAGCATTTCATAGTGCACATACAGAATCCAGGCACTGTGACTACTTAAAATCACTTCAGTGGTCATGGTCATAAGAAAAATTGATGTCATAATCCTGCTGCAGATATAGCATTAATAAAGGGCCTCTAGTGCTGTTTAAGTAAGGAGGTAGTATTCTAAGCTTAATAAAATATTATAATTGTATCAGTCAAAAAACCTTTATGTGTGACCTCTTTCTTTTATTTTGGATAGAGTGCAGAGAGTGAAACTGTCGAGTGTTTGAGCCTTTGCAAATTGCATCCTATATTTTCATTCCACTAAGATACAAAAATTAAGTGAAAATGGTGCCTGTATATAAAGACACATTCTTGTAACAATAAAATACATTCCAGTGAAAAGAATGGATGGTTATTGCAGTAAAGGAATTGCAAAAGATACATGAAAAACATAAGACAATACAATACAATACAAAATACAATACCACAGGCCTGGACAATATTTACTCAAACCATCAGAAAAAAAAAAAAACTTAACTAAAAACATAGCGAATTATAATTTACCAATTAGAGAATACAATAAGTCATCCTGGTCATCCAGTATATTCAGGTAGTCCGCTGACCTCATTCTTTGGGCACATAATGTTGCTGAACCTGGACCTGACCAACTGCAGCAACCCCAGATCATAGCACTGCCCCCACCGGCTTCTACAGTAGGCACTAGGCATGATGGGTGCATCACTTCATCTGCCTCTCTTCTTACCCTGATGCACCCGTCACTGGTGGTTCCCCACTATCCTTTCAGTTTTTAATAATGCATTGGACAGTTCTTTTTTTCTCCAATTTCTCAAATTTCAGAAGTTTCTGCAATCTCCTTAGATGTTTTCTCTGCATGATGCATGCCAATGATTTGACCCTTCTCAAACAGACTAACATCTTTTCCACGATCACGGGATGTGTCTTTCAAGAAGCTACTCATTGCATCAGTTGGGGTTAAATACCTTGTTGCCAGCTGAAAGATAATCACCCATGCAGTAACTATCTAATAGGAAGCTCTTACCTATTTGCTTAGTTAAATCCAGGCGGCAACTTTTTTTGGCCAGGCAGTGTATAATGTAATGGAAAGGAAATGTATATATGATAATAAGTTGCTTAGAGTTCAATAATTCTTTTAAATAGCAAAATGACATTCATTTTTGCCTGGCTGTCTAGGCTTACATGCATTGGCAGTACAAAGTATAATCATCTTTGACACTGAGTCTTTAAAAGATGTTTTTTACCTAAGTCGTACAAATTCTAAATTTGAGGAAATAAAATTGACTAAAAATAGATTAACTGAAAATAAAAGTTATTTTAATGGAATTTAGATTGCTACTACAGGCATTCAAACAAACACAATAAATCAATAACAAAGTTTGCAGAAGACTTCACTAGGACTGAGACATATGAACATATTAAAGAGGTATCCCAAGAACCAAAACCCCTGCTACATCTTATTGGTGAATGACGGATATGGTGGCAGAACATTTTTAGTGAATCATTTTCTGTTGGTGTGACAAAAAATGGGGGACTTCTACTCACCCCAACCCCAAGCCAATCAAAGATTCTCAGTGACATCAAAATGAGGAAGCTTAATTATTTACCAACATTACTTGTATTGGTTAGCAGGATTTCACTGTGTTGAATGAGTAATTTGAAATTATGTTACTTTTACAGAAAGGTTGATTGGCATACCAGAAACAGTCGA